AGCAGGAGGCTGCAGGTCGTGAGTGAGGGGCACCAACAAGGCTAGGGAGGGTTGTGGGCTGGGAATGAGGGGCACCTGGTGGGGTAGAGTAGAGGGCTATGGGTTAGGAGTGAGAGACACCAACAGGGATGGGGGCTACAGGTCAGGAGCAAGGGGTACCAGTAGACCTGGGAGGATGGGAGGCTGTGGCTTGGGAGTGAGGGGCAACAGTCGGGCAGGGCACCAGCATATCAGGGCTGCTCAACACCACAAAGTGGGAGGTGGGGTGGGGAACAGCTGCTGCTGGACCTGCATCCTGGTGAGCAAAGGGGGCAGGGACAGCTCTGATTTTCTATGACTAAAAAAACCCATCAAAATGCCAAAACATAAAGGTATTTAGAATTTATTGTATTATAATAATTGAGGCACTGGTAGGCTTCTGAATTGCTTAAAGATTATACATAAAACATTGTGTTCAACTGATACCTATACACATATATATAGATATCAATATCTAGGTATCAGTTGAACACAATACAGACACACACCTATAGTGGCATTTCATTTTAAATCATGGAAAAACATGGATTTGGGGGGGGAGTTAATCAGAGAATTTGGGATTTTATCAGAGACCCTGCTAGTTTTTAAAACAGAGAAAACCTGGCCACCACTTTTTTTTTTAAATCTCAAAATTCCTTTGGGTGGCTGAGTTCTCCTGATTATTTTACATAATCCTTGTGGTTTTATTACTGGTTGCTTGTGCTTAAATAGTTATTCCATAAATTCATGATACAGGAACACCAAGAATGCTTTGTTTTGGAAGCGGGTCAGATGAGTAAGTTAACCTCCTAGTAAGTTACTGTTCCTTTTCTTTACACATACTGTTCATACTCTCCTTTGTTGTGTTCATCTCCCATAAAAAGAAGAAGCTTAAAAAAATTGCTTGCATGCATACACCTCACTTACTGCGATTGTGGCACTACCTTACTCAGTTGTTCTCAACAAGGGTGCCATGAGCTCCTCTTGGGGGTGCTGCAGGGTGCAAGGAGATAAACTCATCTCAACTCACATTTGTCTCTGCTAGTCCCCATGTATGGAGTTAAGCGTTCACTCCTCTCCTGTTATGCAAGGAGCTAAGCATAGGCGTGTATGTCCAAAAAGATAAATGTAAATGTCATGGTTTCCCCTGCTCACTGGGGGGGGAGGGGGGGGCACGCGGCGGCAGCAGGCAGGCACTAAGTGCTTGTTCCTCCTTCCCCTGCTTGCCCCAATCTGCCAGGAGTTAAGGTTGGAACAAATCAGATACTAAATTGGGGTGGTTCAATTCACAAGAGTTATAGAGGGGTGCGGGATGCCTAAAAAACACTGATCTACCTATTACTGACTGCTTTTACTTGCACTAATAGACATTAAATTGAACAAACCGTATGTCCTCCAAAGAATACTGCTGATACAAATCAACATGTATAATGTCTCTTTCCTCAGACCTAAGTATCTCTCTTCCTCATACACACATCATCTTCTGAGTAGTTTCCTTGATTTTCCCTTCTTCTCACCTTTGACTAAGTTTTAGAGCCCCTGCCAAACACAGTCAAAAGATAAAAACTAAATGCCTACCCAGCTGCTGTGCTCTGCCAATCCTTCCCATTAGGACTGCTGGATGTTATGCAAATAACTTAAGTTCCTTCCACAGAACTACAAAGACTTCCTTCTGAGCTCAATACAGCAGCTGGTTTGTTAGCCACAGTTTCAGTTCTTTAAAGTGGAACGTTTCCAAGTTTCCTAGGGACCTGGATATATGCCCACAATGGTCCCGTGCCAGTAACCCAGCAATGAATAAAAACTGTACTATTGGTCTATCTTGTCAAAAGGAGGCTGTTTAGTAACCCTGCCTCATGTCAGCCTCGATGGACAGAAATGAATTATCCAAGGGGCTTTTCTGGGATCATTCTGTTGATCAAGAAAACAGAAATCTGCCTGTATTACTATGTAATTTTAGCATCTTAAAGGAATGTATAATTTTGATAAACGCATTAATCTTTGCACTATTTATCAAGATTAAAATTCTGTAAACTACAGGTCTCAGCCTCTGTTAATCTCAAAAAATAGGAAACAATATAAGCAAGAATAACGGGCCAAAACTGATAACAGACATTTGACTTGCATGTGACTGATTTTACACAGTGGTATGTACATGTATCAGTCAAAAGAGTAACAGGAGTTTTAGTTTATTTCTAGTCTGCAAGGAATAATATTTAAAGTAATATATTTATAATGCAATTTTCCAGTGTTGTAGTGCATCAGCTGCTTCATGGGAAATTCAAATTTGGAAGTAACTATAGTTTGTGACCCATGCTTCCAAACCCAATGGAAGCAGAGGCGTGTAAAGGAAATAAGCAAGATGGTCACAGGCTACCTTTCCTTTCAGAAACTCTATAGCGATGATACAAAGAACAACACTAATTCTTCCACTGAAGCTCAGGCTACCATATTTAACCTTCTAAAATAAGATATTTTTTGAACAGATGCTCCTGTTACATGGAAAATAAAAAAACACCAACAACTTGATAATTTTATAGGCAAAGTCTAAATTAAATTATTTCCATTTGTTGCTTCTGCTATTTTTTTTAATAACCGATACTAGGAAAATGTACATGGAAATAACTTGTTGCTGGAATTCATCTATTTCTACTGCCTAGTCATTAAAACCAGAGGCCAGAAGTTTCTATGTTGGGAACTTCCTAAATCCAAATTGTCTGATTTTTCAGAAGCAAATTGTAGATTATATTGCAAGTGCTCAGTGCTTCTGAAAACCAGGACACTTATTTAGGTATCCAAACCTAAGGATTTAGGTGTCTAACTCTTCCAACTTGGCTTTGTAATTCTGACCATAATTGACTATGAGATCTCACACCTCTCTATAGCAGTGGATTGTGATGTCACAGGAAATTACTACCCAAAGTGTGAGGCATGTAAAACATTGCAAGGAGCTTATTTTCATACAAATATCCCTAGAAAATACAACATTTAAGACTAATTCTCTTTAAACAAAATGTTTTGCAAAGTTTTCCATGAGATGTCAGTGAATCTTTAAGGCTAACACAAACTATTACTGAACCACTTACCCAGACCGCAGCTGCAGAGAAATAGATGGGAAATAGTACAACGTACAAATTACAAGTCCAGTTTATGAAAAAATGGCTTAAATTATACATCAGATTTACAATAAAACTGTAACTACAGTAAAAATGGTTACTTTTCATACCAATCTTTCAGATTCATAATTAACATGCACATTTTGGCAGGTAGCAGATAAAAATGGGATAAAACCCTCATTTTGATTAAAAGGAATGAGTTGCATGAGTTTCGGTATATTGAATATTTGCTGTACACTTACTCATCTGTGCTCTATTTCTTCATGTTTACGGTCTTTGGTTGCAAGTGAACTGTAAGGCAGAAAATGAAAAAAGCTTGCTGAAATCATAACATTACTAGAAAATATTTACAAGTTAGTTTATTATTCCAGTAAATACATTAAACCAAAGCTTAAATGATTTGAAAGAGTTTTAATTAAGCAACTGTGATTATGCACTACAGGCAGGATTCATTACACTGGTGTAAATCAGTATCAATTCCTTTCATGTCAGTGCAGTTACGTTAATACAAAACAGATGTAAATGAGCAGAAAAAAATGAGAACGTTTGTACTTTTGAAAGAGACAGGACTGCCACTGAAGACCTAAAATTAAAAAACAAAACAAAACAAAACAAAAAACGCTTAGATTTCCTTCTTAAAAAGGCACTTATATACTAGATTCCTTGACTGCTGAAGAACCCAGACAAGAAACTGATTAGCAAGTCCCACCTGCCAGGTACTATGATCATCCCTATTATTCAAAGATTCATTATAACTAAATATGAAAGGGACACAAGAATACAGTTCAAAACTATTTCATCTGTTATGCTTTGCAAAGATAACAAAAGGGTACCCATCTTACTCTTGGCACTTATTGATGGAGACTTTTTTTTCCCCCCCTATACCATTGTTATCCCTGAATAATCTTAAATCCTGTAGCTCGATACCAATCACTTTTTAAAAATCATGCAGCTGGCATGACCCTGATGCTGAATATCGATAATAAACAGTAAAAAAGAAGATTATTTTGAAATCTGAAAATGTGAGCTTGCTAGTAGGGGTTTTCTTAAAATGTTGACACCAATTCTTGATTTTGATTGGTACAAGCTTTGGCATTTGGGTATTTCAAGACTGATTGAATTTCCAGAATAAAAACTAGACATCCCACTGTTCTTACAGCTCTGTCAAAAAGCAGTATGGTTATGTTATCAATGTAAAGATTGATTAAACAATTGGAGTTGAGATTATGGCGCAAATCAAGTTGGACAACATGGATTAGTAGAAGTCCCACCTTCAGTTAGGTCACTCGTTCACCTAAAGAACTGCAATTCAGCTAGGCACACTTACAGAAGTTAAGAAAAACGTACAATATACAGAGTTTGAAAGAAAAAGGAAAACAGTCTAAAATGAAATTAATTTATTTTCTGGAACTTTTTCCTGGAAACCAAAAAGATTGGAGCACTGAATATTTCCTTTTCAGGCAAGAAAAGGAGGGGGAAAATACCCATTTCTTCTAGATTATTATTAAGCAATACAGTTTTCTTCAGAAGTTAAGCCTCTGAATCCTGGCAAATGAAGGTTACTCGTCTGTAGCTTAGAGTTCAAGACATGAGGACAGTAGAGCCTGAGACAGTGAACTAAGTAGCAGTACCTATGAGACTACTCATGTCATTCCATGGTATACTGCCTCCCTTCTCTTGAGCCTAAATGTTTTGACGGTGGGAAGACAAAGGCTGCATGCAAACATTTATTTCTAGCAGCGGAGTTTCCACTGCTAGAAATGATTCAGGGAAAGGAAGAAGTGCAAACATTTAATTTGCAACCACCTCCTCTCTCCTGCTCCTTCCCAAGACTGGGATGGTCCCAGTCTAGAGAAAGCATGGGCTGCTCCAATCCTCCAATTTCTGGAGATGGGACTGGCGTAGTGGGGCAAAGCCTCCTCCTGCCCACTTCTCAGACCAGGGATTGCAGCGTGAAAAGCAGACAGTTTTTCAGCTCTGCACCCTTTGGCCTGCTCCCAGTGCCCAGAGATTCAGGAGGTAAAGGGATTATGGCAGGGCAAGGAGCCAAGCTTGGAGAGGCCTTCCCCTACACTGATTCCTGGTGTATGGTCTGAGCTATCCTGCCCCTGCCATTTATCTGGGCAGCAGGAACAGCATTTAAAAAGCTCAGGGGGCAAGAACTGAGCTGGGGAAGCTCTTCTTGGCCCAGTTTCCAGCCCCTGATGCCCAGCTGATCAGTGTGGGGGGGAGAGCCAGAGGAAGTAGCAAAACCCCAATATCTTTCTGTATCCAGGGACTGTCCAATTTGGGAAACAGGTAGGAAGTGGAGGCTGCTTGAGGAGGGGAGGGGAGTAGCATGGCAAAGCCCCCAGCCCACTTCTCACTCCAGGGACTCTGGTGCAAGAAGCAAGCAGGGGGCTTGCAGCACCACTGCCTCCACTCAGCTCCTGGTGCCCAGGACCAAAGCAGATGAAGCAGCAGGGCAAAACCCCCTGCCTACTTCTCACAGTGGGGACCCTGGTATGTAAGCAACCAGCTAGAGAACAGCTGGCAACTGACCTCCTCACTCTGGTATATGGAAGAAGCAGAGACCAGATAGAGCTCTATGGTTCCAGGAAGGAGTTAAAACAGTGGGAAAGTGTACAAATGTTCATTCTCCTGGGAGAAAAATCTCCTGGGAGTGACTTAACTGGTTGCATTCAGCTTATTTTTTTCTCCCAGAACCACTATTTTTGGTTCTGAATAAACAGCATGAACACTCGTGGTTTCTCCTGGGGACAATTCTTCTGGTAGAAACCAGACATCGCAAAAAGAGCATAGCTTGCTGACTGCCTTGCACACTGAAACAGGTCTCAACTTTGCTATGTAACGGTATGATAAGGAAACAAAAGCAGTCTAAGGGTACTAACATACATGAGAAAAAAAAATGGCGCCTTACCAGAAGAGGAAGCGCTTTAGTTTGACCTGGCTTGCCCAATGCCTGTATAGATCTGGTGCTTCAGCAGGCTTTTTTGACACTTATCTAATAAAGCTGATTCAATCAACTATTAGATAAGTGTCTTAAAGGCCTGCTGAAGCACCAGGTCTATACAGACATTGGGCAACCCAGGTCAAACTAATGCAATGCCTCTTCTGGGCATGCACTGTGCATACCGAGTTTAAAGGAAAGCGCCGTTTTGGGGGGAGGAGGGGTTGACGTTTGTAAGCAGCCTAAGATAGCATTTAAAAAAAAGGAAAAGAAAAAGGAATTAGTTGACTCTAATATTATTATACAAACACTTAAGTACTTAGGATAATTACATAGTTATGTGGCATCACTTCAGGGCAGAGGTTGGCTAGATGCTTTAATCATGTATTTTCCTTAATATGGTGGATTACTTTAAAGTTTCATCTTATCTCTGAATTTCCTCCATCTGCAACATCTATTTGGACGATAGCTACAGCATCCCCACAAATGCTATTACCCTTAAGTTAAACAAAATACGTTCAACTTTAACTCCAGTTTAGCTTTAATCAGGAAACAAAACATACTAACAACAATACCAATAAATGTTGCCATTACATATCAAATAATGACATATCCATGTCAATCAACAGATCAGCAGAAAATCAATTTCATATAGCTTTTGAAGTATTCAGGGTATTTCAAGAGCTTTCTAAAGCACAGTGTCAAAAGCTGACAGTGTGCTAAGAAATGTAGAAAAGCAAAGGTCCTAAAACATAGAAAGTTAGGGTTAGAAGGGACCTCAGATGATCACCTAGTCCAATCCCCTGCTCAAAGCAGGACCATCCCCTACCATATCATCCCAATCAAGGCATTGTCTAGCCAGGTCTTGAAAACCTCCAAGGATGGAGATTCCATGACCTCTCTGGGTAACTTGTTCCAGTGCTTTACTACCCTCCTAGTGAGAAAGTTTTTCCTTTCATCCAACATGAACTTCCCCTGCTGCAACTTGAGACCATTGCTCTTTGTTCTGTCATCTGCCACCACTAAGAACAGTCTAACAGAAATATTACCTTGTACACCACAACAACAATTAAAACCCTTTCTGCTATGATAGGCGAGATTACTCAGACCAAAAGAAACGCATATTGTCAGTCAAAAGTGAGCTTGTGAGTGTATTAAAGAGTTTTACAGGAGTAGGTACCTCTCCAAAGCATCTTATAGAATAAAATATTATATCGCATACATTTCCCTAAAGAGGGGTGGACAAAATACAGCCTGCAGGCTGCATTCAGGCCACCAGGGCATTCTATCTAGCCCATGAGCACCTAACAAATTTAGAAAATGTATACTTCTCTGCTCCTGGCTGCCTGTCAAAGATGACAGGAGCCAGGGTCAGTAGGACCCAGGGGAAGCTGGCAGGAGCCAGCAACAAGGCCAGCCAGGCCCTGCCCCACCCCCAACTGGAACTCTCTGCCTGACAGTTTTTGGGCTGCTCCAGCACCACATGGCCCCCGGCTGCATCACTGGACCATGGGTCTCGCGCTGGTACCCCAGGGCCAGGAGCAAGAGCAAGAGAGTGCAAGCAAGAGCAAATGAGAGCAAGAATTCATAGGGAAAGTCCCACACGCACACTCCACCACACATATGCATCCACACCCCACCCTCACACTGCCATACACACAGACCCCCACACCCACACTCCTTCGCACATCCCAGCAACCCTCCCCCCCACACACAGCCTCCCACAAACTGCATACGCACCCACACTCCATATATCCACATACACACCCACACGCTCCTTCACCCCACACTCACAAGCCCACACCCTTGGCCACACCCCACATACCAACACACTAACAGCACCCCACAAACCTATACCCACGTCCCCACCCCCACAATATACGAAAATAAGACTTCATTTTAAGCTATTGTGTAATCACCTCTGTTTCATCTGAATCAGGTGAGAAATGACAGTTACAGGCATTTTCATGATTCCCCATTATAGCCTATGGGCGAAACGTCAAAACAGTGAAACAGCCTTGACAAAACAAAATGGAACAGTGCTTCGAAACAAAACAAAATGATGAAGTGAAACACTATCCCTTTGAAAAGGCAAAACAGAAGTCTAAATTAAACGGTGCTGTTTCACACAGCCCTACTTCTTACCTGTGTCTGTCATCTCTTGGCTTTGGGAAAGAAACATCTCTTTGATCTATGGGTACAGCACCTAGCGCAATAAGGTCCTTATCAACTACTGGAGTTTCTATGCACAAGAGTTATATTTAGTAGTGTTGGGGTGATGTAGCCATGATCATCCAGGAAAAAATGTGAGGGGCAAGTATTTTTGAGAATTATATCGTCT